CAGTGTCCGGGCGGCGGCGATGGCCGGGCGGAGGGGGTGCCGAGCGGTGGTGGCGACGGGGCCACAGGGCTCCGGGGCGGCGGGGTGGTGCTGCGGCGGGGTGGGGCGGCGGTGCTCGACGGCGGCGGTGCAGGCACGGGTGAGTGGGGCCGCGGGGTGGAGAGGGGGGTGAGAGTGAGGGGAAAGAGAAGTGGGGGTGAGGCGGCCATTACTAATTAGTGGGGGCACGTTCTTTGCCGTCCACTAGCGGACGGCAAAGGGCGCGCATAGCAGAAGGGGAGACGGCCGTTAGCTGGGCCCTTTCTTTGCCGTCTGCCAGCGGACGACAAAGGTCCGGCAGGCTAAAGGCAAATAGGCTGACCTAGCCAAGCCGTGCGCTATGGGGCCCACCTGGCTCTTTGCCGTCTGCCGTCTAAGGCAAAGAACCAGCTGACGACAAATACACTTTTTGCCATCAGCCCTTTCTTTGTCGTCCGCTTTGTGGAAGCGGGCGGCAAAGAACCTCTTTGCCGTCAGCTGGCGGACGGCAAAGAGGAGGCAGACGGCAAAATGACAGATTCCAGTAGTGCCCTCACGTCAAAGCTATTTTAGTCCTTTGTTGTGGGATCGATTTAGGCCGCAGAATCGTTTTATTTAATACTGCGTTGGTAGGGTCTTGAACTTAAGACCTCTTGGCTCTGATTCTGCCATATTGAATTCATGCTCCAGCCAGTTGTTCCAAAAGTCCGAACTGATGGAGGGAGGCAGGCAACATATTTCAACACAGAAAACAGAGCAAAAGTAGATCGACTAGTACCACACAGTCTAGTGTGTATTCTTCATGTTAAAAAGAAAGAGGGGATAGATAGCAGCCATTAACGCAAGGAGGCACCATTTTCTTCGATCCTGTGGCCGATAGTAAGATTATCTGTCAGGCCCCAAGTCGATGTGACATATGAAACCTTAATGTACAGCCAAATATTCATAGTCCAGAAAACAGAGCTAGAGCGGAGGAAGCGATAGGCAAGTATTCACAGTTGAGAAAACAGAGCAAAGCATAGGAAGCACAATTGCAGTCTGTATCAGTTCTGAGTGTCCATATTTGCCATGTGCCTTCTGCCTTCACAAAGCTCGTTGATGATCTTTGTGTGCCTCATCATCAACAATACATTTACCATCGAAAGAAACATGATAACACACAGTCCGTTTAACAGGGGGTGACCTAAGTATCCAGTGTTCACTTAACCACAAAGAGATAAACCACTCCCCCACAAGCAAGGTGGCAGCAGGGGGTTTGCTTTTCCTCTATGTCTGTTGCACAACAAGCCAGCCACACAGAGAAACCACAGCTGTCAGCGTCTAGCCCATAAATCACAGTCACTTCCGTCATTGGGCACATGAACATGTTGAGCAGAGGAGGAGCGCAAGGGACTCTAGATGTCCAAAAGTAACTGATATTAACGTCTTGCAGTACATATAAATTTTTCTGATAGTAAATTTTTTTGGAATCCAAAATGCAATACAAAAATAAAACATCTATCTAGCAACTAAAAAAACCAGATGTTTCTTCAGGCACTTCGTCCCAGACTCATTTATATCTTCTACGTATTTTCGAATGAAGGCCAGGCCGATGTTTCTGCAACTACTGCATGACATATGAACAGAAGAGCGGTGTCTGTAAAATAAACAGTATCGAACAAGTCCAAGATGATCATCTCATAGCACGTAAACAACAACAAAAATCATAATGAGCGGAACACGGTATCATTGCTATGGAGAACTTGGTAACACAGTTCAACAAAAGGGATGCTAGTGAATATGAGGTACGCACCTTATTCATTATAGAAAAAAGGTGTTGCTTCTAACTGATTTAGTTGTCAAAGTCAATGATGCATGATTTGAAACATTTGGTTATCCAGGACAAGAATATGCTATACAGTAAAATTGCATTGTAAAAGCTTCAGTGATGACAAGTGGAGCACTAACATGTGATGACAAGCTTCCGTAGGCATACCGTCAGGTACGCCGACGGCTTCCCATAGGCTGTCGGGATACCTCGGTGTATGCCGACGAGGGCCATCGGCATAGATTCGGCCGTCGGTAACTGGGTAAATTCTGGTAGTGGTAATGTGCTAAAATCATGTCGCGGTATATGTTGCTCATAGTTTATTGATTTCATAGACGTGTTTACTAGTTGTTAATTTTACTAAGCATTTTACTTTATTTCGCAAAAATATAATGGAGTGTCTAAAACTATGTAGCTGTGTTCATGAAGTGAATAATACAGTGATGATGTTTTTGCACGCGCAACGACCGTGAAGTCGTGAACACAACCACGCCAGCAACAATTTCACTGAATAGTCGAACACACCTTTGTCCATGCTCGCCTAGAGTCTAGACCGTTTGCAGATCGTATGAGAGTCTGCAGAACCTTCCACCCATGCCTGACGGACGGAGAGTAGGCATGAGAGTTACGGCCAGCTCAAGCTAGCGGTCAAGTCATGCTGTTGGGGGCATGTGCATACCGATCTGCGGTTGGCTGTGTTGCATCTCTAACAGAAATGATGTACGTAGATTATTCCAACACTTTGATTTGCTGGCGTAACCAAAATACCTGACAGAAACTAAAAGCTAGATTAATTTGATGGAGGTGTACACAACACACTTACACACAAGCTGCTGCAAAGTGCTTAGCATTACGGAGACAGTTTAACGGAATAAGGTCAAAACTGAGTGTACACAAATTAGGGGTAAAATAGAAGGGCATAAATGTAAAAGTTCCTAAAAACAAAATCACCGCGGCAATTCCAAATTACCCAACAAAAAGGGTACACCTGCATCCAGATTTGTTTTTGGGTTACCGAGATGCAATGACTTCATATGGCTCATAGTGGACCGGCTAACTACCGTTCTGACCAACAAGCCCAACTATCAATTTCAAGGATTGTCGGTCCACACGGTATCCCAAAGAGCTTCGTGTCAAACCGAGACACAGAATTTACCTCAAACTTCTAAAAAAATTGAAGGGCCTAAGATGGGAAATGCGACACAATTTTATTTGACATATGTTACCTTCACATAATAAAAATGAAATAAAACTGAAAATCAAACTCACTAGCATGTGGGGCCCCGAATAGGCTGACCGAGATTCTTAATAATACAAAACGATCGTATGATGGAGAAGTTTCATGGAATAGGGAAGGTTTTCATAACATATTACAGCAATTAGATTACACATGTACAAAATGCCTAAGATTTGAAATTAAGGCACTATTCTACGCTCGGCCCCGAGCTGAGGAGTATCTTGAGCATATCTTGAAAGAATGTGATCAAATGTAGTATAAGGTGGAATTCTTGATTCAAATCTCACTACTGTGGCCTGCATCTTTGGCTTAAGATCCACTAATAGCTCTGTAAAGGTCACTTGTGGTAATTCCTTTGCTGGAACATTGTTTGAGCTATTCCAAATGAACTGAAGTGGAGAAGCAGGACGCAAAACCATGTCTGTCACATCTATTGGAAGACCTTTTTCAAGACGTAATTTTGGATGCTCACCAAACATGGAGAGGTTTCTATCAACTAGTCTCCTGCACCTGCCCAATATACTAAGCCAGAAATGAACATTCAGGTTCGTTCTCATTACATCTGCAAACAAATTTGCAGCGAGAATTGACCACCGCGATTGTAACTCTCTGGCAAACCGGTCTGCTATTTGTACTAGCTGCGGGTGTTCCCCCGGGTTTGCACTTCCGAATGCGAGTGCCTTGAAGAGGTAGCTGAACTCCTCATATGTCAGGACATTGAGAAAAATTGGATTCACAGTTCCAAATTTCTCCATCTTTTTAAGCCTACTTAAGATTATCACTTTGCTTCTTCCATCCATACTTGCCACATAAGAATAAAATGTGGTCCAATCCTTTTCATCCACATCTGAATCAATCTCAACAACTATCAATATCCTCCCCTTCCCTGACATGGCACTTCCTCTATCCGCTATTGTATAAAAATCGGTTTCATTCAAGCGCATAATTGAAGAGACATGCGCAACCAAAGTTTTCTTCCCCACCGCAAGCCCGCCAATGATTGGAAGAACGGCTGGCGCGGCAGTAGCAGGGCTCTCTTGCAAGAGGAAGCTCAAGATCATTTGCTTTTCAGAATGGCGACCAAACACAAAGTTGTCAATGTAAAGATATGTATCATATGGTCTGCGCACCATACGGTCGCATCCACTCAAAATCACAACAAACTCTGTGATGTTGGCAACCGCAATTTCTAGGCTCTCCAGTGCACCATGAAACTCCATGAGGTGTCTTGCCTTGTGTTTTCTAGCACTCCCATGAATTATACGAGAACGTTTGAGACGAAATAATGAGCTCCTAACCTCCTCCTCTTCCTCATCCGCCATAAGAGTCTCCTTGAGGGACCCGTGGTTGAACGCGCCCATCGCCCAGTATCCTCGATACATGGCGTCCGCGAGCATCTTGAGCTGTACCAGCATCCCAGAGTTGGTGATGTACCGCCCGTCCGCCTCCTCGACGATGGTGTGAACTCTCAGGAGCAGTTGTTGCAGCCTCTCCTGACGCTTCTCGTCGGAGCATGCATGGCATGAATACCTGTTGGTGAGGAAGGAGATGAATCGGGTCATGAACTAATTTGTTACTACAGATATGGCAAATTCCATCTCAGAAATCCTCCAATTAAACAGTATGTGTGGCTATTGTTTGAGTTGGAGAGAGGAGACGGGAGGAAACTGATCGCTGATGCAGCTGTTGAGTAGCTCTTTACATGGTGGGCTATCAATTATTGGTCGCACTATAGAACAAACGTCCCTTTCGCCTACCTAACATGTTATGCGTTGAGTTATGTATGGAATTGATATATACGTTACGTTTCTTCCTCCATGATGTAAATTCTCTTCTGTACGCGATAGAAAGTCACCAATTAAAGAAAAAGGTCCCACGGAAGCAATGCTCTAGTATTAACACTGCATCTCCAAAGCTTAAAGAACAGCGAACAGCCACAATGATGCAATCAAGGAAATTCAGTGCAGCCTTTGCTGACTAATATAAGGCTGAACAATTGGACTATTATATTTATACAGACCAACCTTTTTGAAATGATGGTGACAGCCATTGGTAACCAAGATATGGTCGACATTCTCCCTGGAACACCCTGCACGACTTTGGTGGTCATCGGTCATTTGCCATGTTGATGATGATTGACATTGTCCTTTTCACCAGCCACTGCTAGCGAATGGTGACGCCTCTGGAACAGTCGTCTGCAGCTAGGTGTCCGGTCTAACTTATTTCAACAAATGGTGATTGCCTTGTTGGAATATTCTACAAGAATTTCTGGTATATCATCTTCTTTAAGTTGGACCAAATAGTGATTGTTGGAATATGAGACCAGCACTTGCAGCATGCACACGGCAGGCAAACATACACGACCATGTAAGGGGTCTTCAATGCGGACCATGTTGACACCACTTTTTGGCTTGTATGATCACGTCCTCAAAACTATCTCAAATGGAAAAGATTTAACATCAAAATTCTTCACCTCGTCACGTCGAACGGTATTGCCGTTTGAATCATCTCAATCCGAGCCCGTTTGCAGAATTTAAATATCATACAGTCTAGTGTGTATTCCTTGCTAAAAAGAAAGAGGGGATAGACAGCAGCCTCCATGAACGTGAGGTGGCAGCATCCCCCCGTCCCGTGGTCGGAAGGCGGATGATTTTCAGGCCCCGAATAGAGTCGACCCGACGCCTGAAACGGACCTGAAGCTACAGCCAAATATACAAGAGTTCAGAAAACATAGCAAAAGCAGAGGAAGCTACATACAAGTATTTAGAGTTCAGAAAAACAGAGCATAGCAGAGGAAAGCTAGCTAGAGGCAATAACGATGATAGGCAAACAGAGCAAAGCAGATGCTTGATTCTCCATCTTAGTCCACTGTCTTCTGCCGTTACTTCTCGCTGGTAGCCTTAGTGGAGTCGAGGTCCACAAAGGTGAAGTCGTTGGAGTATTGAGTTTGCAATCCAGTCCCCGGTCTCAGAAGACAGACATAATTTTTTTTTTCTTTTCTCGAAAAGGGGGGCTTCCCCGGCCTCTGCATCAGCATGATGCATACGGCCATCTTATTAAGCATAAAATAGTCCACAAAGTCTCGAAGTCTCAAGGTTGTCAACAAGAAAAGTAGGAAAAGGCTCACACAGAGCCCGAAGGCTAGATACACAAGCTAGCCAAAGCACTTATACATCACAGCCGTTTGGCTCCAAAATAGACAGGTAAACTAATTGCCTATCCTGTTACACGACCGCCATCCAAACCGGCTGAATATATCCCGAGCTACCATCTCCCATCGGATAGCAGCAGTAACCAAAAGCTCCCTGGCCTCCGTCAGAGTGAGTAGCGACCAGGAACGGATAAGAGCCGTTGCACGGAAGATAACCTGCAAAACATGGATATTTGTTGATCTGTTAAAGACGAAGTCATTTCTGCAATTCCAAAGCGCCCACAAAAAAGCGCAAACCCCCAAGCGAATATGTTTTGCTAACCCGGGCTCTACCCTAGTTAGCCATGTCCCAAACAACATGTTAACCGACCTTGGTGGGGTAATATTGAAAGCGACTTGAATAGTCGTCCAAAGAATTCTAGCTAGTGGGCAGTCAAAGAAAAGATGTTTAATGGTTTCACCCTGATCACAGAAACTACACCTAGTAGGTCCTGTCCAATTACGCTTAATAAGATTATCCTTTGTTAAGATCACCTGTTTATGTAGAAACCACATAAACACCTTGATCTTTAAAGGAACTCTGACGTCCCACACATGCTTTGAAGTAGGAATCGAGCTGGAATTAATAACATCAACATACATTGATTTAACCGTGAATCCCCCCGACCTAGTGAGATTCCAGCGTAATTTATCAGGTTGTTGAGATAGTTGTACCTGCATCAGTCTCCTAACTAGATGCAGCCACTCTTCCCAACGATTGCCCACTAACGATCTTCTAAACTGGATATCCAGGGGTATCGAGGCGAAGACCGATGCAACCAAAGCATCGCGCCTTCGAACTATACGATACAGAGACGGATACTGGATTGCTAGGGGAGCCTCTCCAAGCCAAGTATCCTCCCAGAATCTCGTGCTTGCACCATTACCAACTAAATGCTTTGACCTCTGAAAAAATGAAAGCTTCACTTTCATAAGCCCTTTCCAAAAGGGTGAATCAGTTGGTCTAACCGACACCTGAGCCAAAGTTTTGGTTTGGAGATACTTGTTACGCAGGATTTGAGCCCACATGGCGTCAGTTCCTGAGGATAACTTCCACAACCACTTACTAAGAAGGTACCGGTTCTTGACTTCGAGATTCTCAATCCCCATACCCCCTTGGTCTTTCGATCTACAAATGATATCCCACTTCGCTAACCGATATTTTCTCGTAGGCTCGTCCCCCTGCCAAAAGAACCTCGATCGATAGAAGTCCAGTCGTTTCCTAACTCCAACTGGGACTTCAAAGAAGGACAAAAGGAACATGGGCATGCTCGTGAGCACCGAATTAATAAGAATTAAACGGCCTCCATACGACATGAGCTTGCCCTTCCAACAACTTAGCTTCTTCTCGAAACGATCCTCAATACACTTCCATTCATTATTCGTGAGCTTGCGGTGATGAATAGGAATTCCTAAGTAGGTAAAAGGCAGCTCACCCAAACCACATCCGAACAACTGCTTGTAATCCTCTTGTTCCTCTTTGGCTCTCCCAAAGCAGAACAACTCACTTTTGTGGAAGTTAATTTTGAGCCCACTTAGCTGCTCAAACAAACAAAGCAGCAGCTTCAGATTTCTAGCTTTTACCAAGTCATGCTCCATGAAGATGATAGTGTCATCAGCGTATTGCAGGATGGATATACCCCCATCCACTAAGTGTGGCACCAAGCCCCCTATTTGGCCAACTTCCTTGGTTCTCCCTAACAACACCGCCAACATATCGGCTACTATGTTGAATAGAATAGGGGACATCGGATCTCCCTGCCGCAGGCCCTTATGTGTCTGGAAGTAATGACCGACATCGTCATTCACTTTTATGCCAACACTACCCTTTTGCGTAAAAGTTTCAATCTGGCTCCTCCAGCCCTCGTGGAAACCTTTCATACGCAAAGCTTGTTGCAGAAAAGGCCATTTAACTTTGTCATACGCTTTCTCAAAATCTACTTTAAAGATGACTCCATCAAGTTTCTTAGAGTGAATTTCCTGGAGCGTTTCATGCAACACCACCACCCCTTCAAGGATGTTTCTGTCTGGCATGAAAGCTGTTTGGGATTGCTGCACCACAGAATGCGCAATCTGTGTGAGCCTATTAGTCCCAACCTTGGTAAAAATTTTGAAACTGACATTCAAGAGGCAGATAGGACGGAACTGCTCAATCCTGAGAGCGTCGGTCTTCTTTGGAAGCAACGTTATCGTTCCAAAGTTCAAATGAAAAAGTTGAAGCCGTCCAGCAAAAAGGTCGTGGAACATGGGTAGCAGATCCCCTTTGATGATATGCCAACATCTTTTGTAAAACTCCGCCGGGAACCCATCCAGCCCGGGAGCCTTATTGTTCTCCATCTGAGAGATGGCATCGAAAACCTCCTTTTCCGTAAACGGCGCAACTAGCATGTCATTATCAGCAGCAGTTAATTGAGGCACATCCTCAGTCCTGGACTCATCGAGGGACACAGCGCTATCCTCCGGCGGTCCAAATAACTGCTTGTAGTATTCGGTGATGTATAGCTTAAGATTATCGTGACCAACAATTGTGCCTTCATCTTGCTCGAGCTGAAATATTTTTTTCTTTCTGTGTTTGCCATTCGCAATCAGATGAAAGAATTGAGTGTTCGCATCCCCTTGGATTACTTTGCGAACCTTTGCTCTGAGCGCCCACTTCAGCTCTTCTTCGCGGAGAAGTTCCTTCAACCTCTTTTCCGCATCAATCTTACAGCACATATCCGCAGATTGAAGAACCGCTGATTCAGCTTTAACATCTAGGTATTGAATAATCTCCAGGAGTCTGTCTTTCTCAACCTTATAAACTCCACTTAGATGTTTAGCCCAACCTCGAAGAAAGCACCTCAAATGCCTAATCTTATTCTGCCATCTCTCGACAGGCGATCTACCCCTAGACTCTCTAGCCCACTCTCTGGCAACAATATCCAAGAAACCTTCTCTTTCAAACCATGTCGTTTCAAAGGAGAAAGTATTCTTGTTTCCCACATGCCTTGGCTCCCCTGAGTCAACAAATAGCGGTGTGTGGTCCGAAATTCCTCGCGTTAGAGCCTGCACCGTGACCAGAGGGAACTTCTGCTCCCATTTGGCACTTGCAAGAACCCGATCCAACTTCTCATATGTCGGGTTTGGTAAAGAGTTAGCCCAGGTAAATTGTCTACCAGAGAGTTCGATTTCTCTCAAATCCAAACTCTCAATGATGGTATTAAACATAAAGGACCATCGCCCATCAAAATTATCGTTATTCTTTTCATCCCGCCTCCTAATAAAGTTGAAGTCCCCCCCAACCAGGATAGGGAGTTGTTCGGACCCACAAATTCGAACCAGGTCAGCCAAAAATTCAGGTTTAAGCTCAGGTTGTGCAGCCCCGTAGACCGC